AATGCACCTCTCCTTCTTGGATTAGGCAACGGCGTAGAGTTGCTTCTTAACGCAGACTTTTGACTCAGTTGTGTTTGACTTAGTCAAACCTATCACTCTTCCACGTCGCTGCTATCGCCTTGATCCCCTTAGTAAGGTGGACCGATGATTGTCAGGATAGGGTGGAGGTGACTGGACCATGGTGAGTGCTCAAAGCAATCATTCAACTTAAGTTTGCAATTATAGAAATCTGTGCCCTGTGCTGTCTACGTAGAAATGTGACGCCTTTAAGCACCTTTAATTGCATATTATTTTCCATTCTAGGCATTGCAATGTGCTGTTATACAGATATACCGACGTGCCGTTCGTTTGACATGTGGTGTGAAATACGTGGTCAATACCGCTGTTGCCCTCCATACATCTGTCTAGGAATTGTGGGCAACAAGTATGGCATATGCCGTCGTAAAGATTCCAACATATGGTGATGGAAAGCGAACATTTTATTTGTATCATACGGTTTGTAATATTTGAAACAAACAACCAACTCGACTTATATGAGAGTTCGTAAGGGATTCTGCATCACAAATATGGTTGTCGTTATCCCAGTCACATTGTATACGTGCCATCGAACGCCGAGCCTGTGTGAGTTTGAGGTCACCACCAGCTTCATTATGCACGATGAACACTCCTGAAAACGAAGGCTTCGGCAGTGCTCGGGACACAGCGTGTTCACCGACAAAGCGCCTCTCTGCAATTAGCTGCACAATAGACTGCATGGAATCACCTCGCACTCCACTAAGGCTCACCTCCGCACGCATTAGCCACAATATCCGTGACCAAATTTTCTACTTCCCACGAAACCGCGCAACCGAGAGACCATCGTTGTGACCCAACTGTCAAGTGCAGAGATGAAGCTGTGGCTAACACACCGCGCCATCCACCTCGCGAGCGTGCTTCCCAGCAATCTGTTTTGAATGCATCTTTTACGATGCTGTGCACGTCTACTTCACATTTGCAGACGACACAACGTAGAGGAGATCTGTGTGGTGGTGGTGTGGTGGTGCTGCCATCATCTGCTCTGACATCCGGTTAAGCCTACTACAGACTGCTTGCCTTTTGATTACTGACAGTGCATAGTCAAACTAGTTGAAGCAACTTTCATACCACGTGGCACTGTGGTGCTCTTCTCGCTGGGCGTTTATGCAGTCACGGTCGCGAGCAAAAAGGCAACAACTGCAAATGGTTGCCACAAATTGGCAACTGTTTGCACTATCATAACACAAGTAGACAGTTACAACGCAAACCTCCTCAAATGGTATGCATTTTTAATCCGATTGTGGTGCGCTCACAGATTTCGCGAAGCAGGAGTGAGTCGCCTCCTGTCGCCAGCCTCACCTTCACCTCTTGGAAGTAGTGACTTTTCATTGTGCACTGCAATTTAGCTCGTTAACTGCAGACAAATCAATAATTTGCAATCAGCCAATCGCCTTCTGCGTTGATCAGCCAATCAGCTGTGAAG